AATTACCGCCTCGTTAGCCTAACTAGTGTGGTTGTTAAAATCTTAGAAAGTATTATTCGGAAGGAGCTTTTTAAGTATCTCGATAAAAACCGGATACTTTCAGAGAAGCAGCACGATTTCAGAATAGGTTACTCTTGTTTCACTAACTTATTAGTGGCTCGTGAAAGCTGGTGCGCTCTTAAGGACCAAAAGTTACCTGTAGACGTGGCCTTCATTGATTTCAGTAAAGCTTTTGACAAAGTTCCGCACAACCGGCTGTTATATAGGTTAAGCAATGTTGAGATCGGAGGCAATCTATTGATGTAGATAAAAGACTTCCTCGTTGGGCTCCAACAAAGAGTAAAGGTGAACTCAAAGTTGTCTAGCTGGGAAACGGTACTTAGTGGAGTGCCCCAGGGTACAGTTTTGGGGCCATTATTAGTCCTCTTGCATGTAAACGACCTTCCTCGTCTATTATCCTCATAGGTCTTGCTGTATGCTGACGATGTCAAAATATAGAGAGTGATAAGAAGTAAGGGTGATAGCTTGGAACTCCAAAATGACCTGGAGAAATCATCAAAGTGGTTTAATTCTAGCAGTTGCCAATTAATAATTTCAAGTGTGTTGCGATGCATGTCGACCATCAAGCTACAGATATGTACACGGTGAGTAACACTGAGCTACCTGTTGTCCAGACACATGGAAACTCAGTAGTCATCGTCAGCCAAGACTTATATACTACTGCACACTACCGTGCGATAGTCACCAGAGGTCTCAGAACTCTATGGTCAGTACTTAAAGCGCATAGTGATGTGGAAGCTAATACTTCCTTGACTTTGTAAACATTATTAGCACGTCGTAAACTTGAGTACTGCATACAAGCGGCCAGCCTCTGCTTATAAAAGACAGTGAGATTTTTGAAAAGGTTCAAAGAACAGTAACTAAGCTGATCCTCAGAACAGCGGAGTTCTCGTATGATGCTCGACTGGTCCAGCTAAATCTATTCCCGTTGTCACATCATAGAACTAGAAGCGACTTGATTACAGTTTTCGAATTACTAGGTGACAAATTTGCACTTGATATGCTCTCACCTTTTTGTCTTCCAAAAGAGAGGATTTTCGAGAACATCCCAAAAACTTTCACAAGCCCAGAACAAATTACATGTCAGCTGACATCCCATCGAATCATCAACGAGTGGAATTCACTGCCTCAGCACATGGTTGAGGCTTCATCTGCCGACTTTTTCAAAAAAGAGTTAGATCAACTAATAAACCAACCGTCTTTAGTGGTCAAAAAAGAAAGCTGTCTCTGAATCATTCTTAGATTTTCTAGATTTTCTAGAAAGTTTATGAACAGTGATACTCAAAATATGAACTTGTAATGCGGCGTCCAGTCACGGTTGACTATGATCATCACTACAGGAAAACTACATACCAGTTAACTGATAAGACCCCCCGCAGACCAAATATCAGGAGGCAGTTGATGGCTGTAATTGAGATGTATTTTTTGGCGATCTCGTGGTATAGAAACAATATCGAGGTCGTGCCATGTTCACAAGTGAGGTTGATGAGAATAGCCTAGTTTGCACAAGGTCACAAACAACGGAAGAATGTAAGTGTTAAGCAAACAAGTACAGTAAAACAATCACTGGTACGATTGGTTATAATAATAATTGTTTTAATTGTACCAATCGCGTTCTCTTGATAAAAGTAGGTCACCACAAACTTTGCTAGGTTTAGTTAAAGTATCGAGACTTGATGAATTTAACTTTCTAACTGGACTGATGAATTCCATACTACCAGTGCAAACAACAAAATCAAGAAATTCATCACTGAAGAAATATAATTATTTTCGAGTGCGAAGTTATTGACTCGAAGTTGTGAACAAGAATATGATATGAAAATTAGGATCACCGAAAACAATAATATCCGAACTACAATGCATTTGTCCGGTTTTGTCACATTTGAGGCACTTAGCATTATGTAATTCACACAAATGACGGTAATGACGTTTATAACAGGATAACCACTTACCAAACTTGTGCTCACTCGTTTACACTGCTCTGCAATTGTTTCGTGCATTGTTTTCCATGTTTTATCGAGAACGAAGGTTATCATTAATTTACTGTCTATCTTTATGACCTGGAATAATAATCGTTTAGGACAACTAAGTGATATAGTGTGGTTCTTTATATCCTGGATGTCAAATCGAGCCATAACCTATATATAATTAGTACATGTAAGTCTAGCATCTTGGAATGAGCAATTCAGCGTCTGTATAAGATCTATTTCCGGATTTGTTTTGTTATTTCCTGCAATCAATCGATCACGCAGCTGCACATGAAATCAATCATCACAATTACGTTTGGATGCCTGTTTTTGCAATTGAAGGATAAATTGTCTAACGTTCTGGCTGTTCTGACGATTAACTTTACGCAATCCTACTTATCCCTCCAAGAAATTTTTAATTCTTTTTACTTGTCTATCCGATGTAGTGTACTCAGCATGTGACTCGATTTTCTGTGTTCCTGTTTGTTTGCTGTTTATTACTCTCTTCTTGTGTTTTCCTTTCTTGAATCATCCCTAAGATATCTGAGGAGATACATTCTAAATGCTGGTGCTACTCGTAGTCCAAAATCTCTTGGGTTGCTGGATTTATTGTCGTTTTAATCCCTTTCCAACTGTTATGAATAGCATTTTATCCTTTTTCTGTGGATCTTACTAGGCCTTGTTCTTGCTGCTTACATCCATCTTGAACACCCTGAGCTTATAAACCTCATAAAATACCTGTATAAAAATTTACTGATCCTGCTCGTCAAATATTCAGTACTTATGCAACCTCAAATTTAACTTAATGGCCGGTGAAATCCATGTGCTTCTGTGTACGTGTCCATGAAGAAAAATGGGGCGTCCCAAGACCAAGTGGGTGAATGCACTTAGATTTGTGAGTCACTTTCCATTTCCATTCGTTAGTCCCAGTTCATTTCGCTCCACGATATTTTCATACTCTTTGTTATCTATACCAACCTAGGAGTTTAAGTCTCTGATTAGAATAGTCAGGTCTTTTAGTGAGTAGTTCTCTTCGATGGACGGCTGCCTCTAATAAAACTTATATATGTCTTCCCCACTGCCAACACCAATGGACGCGGTGCACTTAACGACATTCACTGTAATCCTTTTTCTCCATTGTTTTGAAAATCCTAGATTCATAAGGTTACAATCCTTTAAGTGCTTCCCACGTTTCTTCAGAGAGCATCAGAACAGCTCTTTGTTTGTCGGGAGGAGAGTATTTTTGTTGTCATTACTGGAATACAATAACTGTCTTCCTGAAGTTAGTTGTTCTTAGAGCTTAAGTTCATATGGTTTCATTTACTTCGAAAAGGACAATGTTGTATCTTATTGTTTCCGCCATTTTGTGAATAACCTTGATAGTGTGTAACACTGTCCAAGCATTCCACATTCCCGTATTGATTGCTGCCCTGGTTTTAGTATGGACATGGGCCTCGTAATTTCCCTAAATATTGCCGTTCACCATGAAAAGTTATAACGCTTCTGTATGCAGACAATTTTATTCCTAAAGCATAGTTTAAATGAATTAATCCGTTTGTTTCAGTCAACGACTTTACGTAAGGTTCATTTTAAGATGTAGTGTTAATAAACTTGAGACCAACCTTCCTTCTTTATTTAGATTTATGACCAGTGGTAACCACAGGGAGCTCCATGCAAAGTTAGTAGGACAAAGTAGCTTCAAACTTAGGGATTCTGTCTCCTCACTGCAACTTACAAATTTGAAATAATTAACAATTGACGAAAAAATGTATGGTATTGCTTTTATTTGAGCGTCTTATCAGTATTGTTGAGACATATCATATTTACATAAAAATGACTAAAATCAGAAATTTGAAAGTCCACCCAAGTTTACCATTTAAAGGCTTGTAAGGAAATATCAAAAACTGTGCGGATCAAGCACCAATTTTCTTACAGCTACTTGACTTTTAAAGCAACCATGTAAATGAATATAACTGTATATTCATTTTGTAATATGATATCCAATTAGGCATGTGACTGTCGAATGCACTAGTTCAACTCTTGGCTAACTTGTGCTCTGTTGTGTGATTAATTCAAATGCCTTATATGTATATCTTTTTAATACTCCTTTAACTGTTTGCCTACCTATCTATATTTCACTACAATAATGATGTATAAGTACTTGATACACAATGACTGATTGACTCTGTGGGTGGTATGAATTGATCTCGATACACTACAGATTAGACCAGCCTAATGCTGTTTCGAATTTGTTTTACGATGCAATTGCTGGTGATTCTAAATCCTAGTATCAATATAAATCTAATTAATGTATAAGATCTCATTCTAGTGTTAGTATAATTCTACTGTAAGGCAAGTGAACTGTCACTGTACCCTAGCTAAATCACTTGGCAATCGGGTCACTAAATTTCGAATAGTTTACCGATCCTTGCCGAGGTCAAGGGCAACCAACGTGCATCAATCGTTCCGCACACCATAGACTGGCACATACGGTAGTATTCGCACTCTGTTTCTCGTACCTGCTCTTACCTAAATTTTTCTACAATACCGTTCTGTTTGTTGTATACAGTCGTCAAAATATCCACGGTACCCGGATATGATGAAAATTTAATCCACTTCAGGTAATAACCGTAAAGTATGATTTCGACATTCCCGTCCAAATCAAGTAAGCCATAAATCATCAACACAGATGACCAACATTGATGGTCTACACTACCGTTATCCCAGTCCACTTATATCCATTAAATCCAACCATGCCTTGGTTTTTTATCACTGTTGTGTATACTAGAGAATTCATTTATTGAAATACATATTCAAGAATATTTGTATTTCAATTCTTACTTGATTTATCGACTAAAAAGATGAGGAACATAACAAATTACTTTCAAAATATTTAAAACCAGACAAAGTATAATTTATCAGAACTAACTCAATTATTCACAATGCATTTTATTTATGATAGTAATATTATGTGAGATTTCATAAGCGTTTTTGCTGTAATATGACAATTTACAGATGTTTGATTGATAATATATAAAATTCAATAGAAAAATCATGTACATCGACCACATATCTTACCGGTTAGGCTGCTAAGTACAATTTTCAATACAGTGAAAATAACTACAAATGTTAACATGGTCAAAAACAAAATAGTGTCAGGTTGATATAGGATTTCATCCTAGAATATATAGAAAGAAGGATTCATAATAAGCAAACCAATGAAATTCACCACGGATCTACAAAATAGGATTAGACATCATCTATGTCAAACAACAGAGGGGAAAAATGTAGATCGCAACAAATTACAAGTTTAATACGTACGAACAGCTTGTTGCATTTATTATTATAAGGAAAGTTGAACTCCCGAGAAAATTACTCCAAAATTTAACATCTACAAATTTTCGCTAGATGAGTTTTCAATAATGATAAAGTTGATTAGTAGATGTGATTCAAAGAATAAGTTAAATATCCCAAGTGCTACTGATCATATCTGAGTTCCCCACTTACTCTACTTAGTACGATCAGTGAGACTGAATGCGCTCTATGTCCTGTTTATTTTGCTGTTATATGATATAAAGGGTATTAGAAACAAAATCAAATCCAGTATCAAGTCAAGCATGGCAGTTCTATGGAAAGTAAAAACTACAAAAGGAAGTTACATTCAGATTAATGGTTGATTGTTCAAATGATTTTCCCAGTTAAACCTATTTACAACAAGGGAACAGTGAAAACTGGAGTTCATAAATATTATTATTAGTGTTGTAAATTAAATATTAAATTTCATTGTACAAAAGTTCATGTGTTTTATAAGTTAACAAATCACTGCCTAATCTCCTCCATATTGGGTCCACAGCTCAAGTTAACAAAATTTTAATCGCGCAACAAAGAGTAAGGATGATAAATAGTGCACTATCACAGTTGTATTTGTTACCAGTGTTAAGAGACGCCATTTCTTCATTGGATTATTAGCGAATAATTCAACAAAACACCATTGAATAAATGATGGAAAAGAACCACTTAATACGGATGATATACTTCAAGAATATTTAAAAATAGATGTTAGTTAATAGTGTTTTTCATTAATGAAAACAGTTGCCATAAATGTGTATCACTGACAAATACGCGATGTTTTTAGTGATCTTTTAATCCTCAGACAATTAACGGTAAATCCTTCATCAAAAATGTCCGTATTTCGGTCATTATTTAAAATAATTTTAGTTGTCCTAAAAATAACCGACCAATTCATTTCGGGGTAAGATGGGATCAATAATCTAATTTCGTGAGCCGCCACCACTCTTTAACATGGTAATACTCATTCAGACAGGGAGGATTTTTGAGAGCTAAGCAAACTTCTGCATGCAGTAACACATGATAAACTTCATTGGGTGAATACTTTTACAGTAGCATTTCAAATAAAGTTTGGGTTTAGAAACAGCAATGTTAAACAATGCCTTTTCAAGACTGTAATACCGTTATGGACGAAACGGAAGAGATTGATCACAAAATATTTATAATTGAGATCGTGAACACAACAGAACAAACTGAGGTAGGAAACTAGAGCTAGGTAAACAAATGGTCAATGGATACTCAATCGTATGGTTCGAATTGATGAATAGTACATACAGATGGTCTGTTTGAATTCCAGTTATTAAATGCTTAAAGTTAAAGTGATCGCTCCTGTTTTTTCGCTAGTTCATTTTCATTGTGGGAATAAAATAAACCGTGTGAGACAAATATTTTTTTATCAGCAAAATAATAGTTAATTTAACTTTGGACAAGAGTAAAGAAATGATATTATCAAACATTTGTACTTACTAACTGTCGTAAAAGATGAGATAATTGAGTTTCACTAATTCCTGAGGTTAAACACAAGTGTTGATTATATGGTTGCGTTCTAGATGCCTGGTTTTCATAATGTTGCCACATCTCTTCATTCTTCGTAAGCAGCCATCGATAACCAGCAATAATTATTTCTTCTTGCTCACAGTCAGATGCTTTACTCAAAAATTCTCTGTACCGACTCCTTTGCCTGATTTCCCCTTTATTTAAGATCATACTGTATCCCTTATTTTCGGAAAAATTATTTGTCAGTATCTGTTTGAATGATGAATGATATGATGGTGCACCAAAAGACCATTGTGACCAAGGCGACCAAACATTTATTGATATGGGTGAATCGCACCGTTCTCCTTTCCATCCATTGTTACATATACAACGAGAAATTAGGTGGGGTTCATTTTCAAACCATGAGAATGATGTATCTTTAAATCTGGGTTTTGCTTCATTGGCTGAGTCGTATTCACTCTGACAAAAAAGAATGTAATATGATATTTAACTGATTATGCAACATTAAATTAACATTATCTATGATAATAGAATTTAAACAGTAAGCCTGTTTTTACTCAAAAATCTATATCTCTGAAATGTGGATTGTCTAAATCATGAATTTAGTGAAACCTTATATGATTTTATTTTTGATGTAGTAATAATCACCTTTGTAATTCATTTTATTTCCATTAACATGTAATCTGTCTATATGAGGCATAGCAGTAGGTGTCAACCTTCTAGTTAGGACATTCGCGATAGCTTCGATTCGTGATTCCAATCAAGCGATATCAGTTTTATTGGCATAACTAAAAATAAGAAATAAGAAATACGAACTAATATCAAACATTAAGATTTGGAAGATGTTAATTAGATGCATTTGAGCTACTTCGATCGATTCAGACCATCTCCATTCATAGATTAAGATTACATTAAGAGTGGTATCCAATTTAATGGCAACTCTTTCTACAACCCAAACCAATAATTATTAATATCATTAGATGATTCTGTGTTTTAGTTTGCCTCTTCATATATCAGGAAGCAATTTATCTCGGGATAAATGGTGACGAGAGATGAATTACATGTGTTCATACCACTTAAACTGATTAAGATTCACAACCTCATAAGCTGATTTTCACTCTATGTAGCATAAAACGTCTTGCTCCTGCAATGCTTAATTTGTGTTCTTATCGTAGGTGAGGCATGGTTCAAAGAAATATATGACTGAATATATTTACCTCTTCATCCGATTCCTTTTTGAAAGTCATTTTTCACAGCTGAAAATCAGGACAGATGACTACCATAACATAAACTGTATTTATAAAAGACAATCGAAAATGCTTCCTGAGCCACAGATGAGACAGGTTTTTAAGAACCAATGTCACATTTCATATGTGCTCAAGGAATTCACTAACCATATACATATTTATATGAAACTCACTATGACACAAATACCATGTTTACATGGCTTAACTATACATGGATCAACAAGAACCAAACAATTATCCGATACCCGTTTTCTGGGTAGTAATGATGAATTGGTCAATTTTCTAAAACCCGTTATACACTGACATGTATAAGTACCGAATTCTTCGTGAGGAATACATTTATTTCCATCTATTGTTCGACAAGCAATATCACCCATTAGTACATCTCCGATTCTCATCTTACATGGATCTTTTTTCTATGTACATGAAAATAAAAGGATAGTAAGTTGAAATACTTTTACAAATATAATACATGGTAATATTCAGAATTAATTTTAAAAATAGTCAGTGATCAAATTATTTACGTTTATCTCGATGGTTACTTGGATCTTGTTAGTCATTGAAATTGTAAACTGATCAGATTTCAACTTCAAAGATTTTTAACCAAAGTCTTGTTCGTACAATTTTGAAGAAATTTGTCATCAACTTCTCATTATAAGAACTTGAAAAACGTTTAGAGAATTATGTTACACAATGAGACTGAGCATATGGTAATTTGAGGAACTGAACAAATACTTAATATTTGTTGGTAATCATATTTTGACTGACTGACTTAAATACTTATGCCTGTTACTCCCAATGGAGCATAGGCCGCCGACCAGCATTCTCCAACCCACTCTGTCCTGGGCTTTCCTTTCTTATTCCATCCAATTCTTGTTTATTTTTCTCATGTCTAGTTTCATTTCTCGGCGTAATGTGTTCTTTGGTCTTCCTCTCCTCCTTTGACCTTCAGGATTCCATGTGAGGGCTTGTATTGTGACGCAGTTGGGTGCTTTCCTCAATATGTGTCCTATCCACTTCCAGCGCTTCTTCCTGATTTCTTCCTCCGCTGGGATCTGGTTTGTTCTATCCCACAGTAGGTTGTTGCTAATAGATATTTTGACTTGCTTCATTATTAAAATGATAAACTTTAGGACACGCAGATATATTCGTGTAAAACGAATTAAATATTTTGAAAGTGATCTTCAGTATAACTTAACAGTTTTGTGTACTTCCAGTTATGTTTTATCAATGAGCACCAACAACCATAAAATATACGTCAGAACTTTTGGATATCTGTTTTCAAATGTATAATGCTAAATATAATTAAATATCTATTACAATCTCTTAATCAAGCGAACATGTTTCTTTCGCTGACAGATAAATTCTCCTGTTTCCCATATATGACCTATTCTTAGATCATTTTAAGTCAGTTAAAAACTCCCATCTCATGTACGTGCATTCATATATATAATGATGGAGATTGCATAATTATTCATCATACTGAATACCATCAATAATTCTAGTTAATTAAAGATCAATTCAAGAATATTAGCAATGTAATTAAAAACAATATTACTAAGAACCTGTCACTGATGAACATTTAACACACAATTCATTAAGTTTATTGCTGTTATTATTTTCTCATATCAATACAACTATTCCTCATTTTATTTTATTAAAAGTTCAATCGTTCAGTGACCATTTGCATTGATCTTTGCTAGAATTTTTATATAGCAACAAACATGATGAATTATGAAGGTTTTATTGGGGGTATGAAATCTTAAATTACAAATAGTGAGGATCAAATCTTTGTCAATTAGGCTGATATTCTTTTGTAGTAAATTATTCAGTGTGAATACTAGACACGGTATCTCAATACATTTTTACGATATTTTATGTTAAGGACAAATATTCAGTCTAAATGTTCCAATCATTTTTCACTGATATATCCAGTGCTTCCAGGTTTTTCTAACTTCAATTGACTCATAATCTAAACTATTGAAATTGATATACAATTTTGATTGGTTACCCTAGGTCAACATCAAATAACTTCGTCTACAAAACTAGTGTTTTTAATCTAGTTAATGAAGCAGAGAAAAAACGAGGATTGAATAACTTCATTCACGGTACCTTATGTGAAATGAGAAATAAATAAGCTATGATAAACTACGGAGGCTGTTTATGAAGAACATTGTTTCACTTAATTCAAAGTCTGTAAATTACTAACATTTAGTTCTTTTCTTGTTTTATTCCATAAAGCATGTGGCTTCGTTTGCTGTGTGATTCACTGCCATACTCGATGACAAAACTATGATAATTTAAACATGACCTTTGGCACTCCATTCTTCTAACTTATGCTTGGTTTGGATATAATAGTATTTTCCTAATCCCTTACACGTTGTGAACTTGTTAGTTATTTATTTATTCACATCTCTTTTCGTGTCGATCTGAATTTTTTTTTAAATCGAGTGGTAGATATAAAACACAAATACCGTTGGATTCCGGCTCAGTAGCCTGGAGTTTGGGCGTCTGGGCGAGACCGAACGTTCTAGATTCGAGTCCAGCGTGCGAGATCGTGGGTGGACACTGCGGAAGAGTACCATACTAAGACGAAACGGTCATCCAGTGCTTCCAGGATTTTAATGGTTGTCTAGCAGTAATTGGTGAATGATTTCGGTGAAATTCAACAGTCTCCACAACGCAATACTGAGAATCAAGTAGTATTCCAGCCAGTTCGACTTCTATCTCTCTCCAACTTGTCAACTAATCAGTTGGTAGAATAGTATTCGTCTTTCTGGTTCCAGAGTCGTTCAGTCAAATCGACCTAAAGCATTAGTAACTTCAAGGTTGAAGTTAATATCCTATTATTTCAAGGCCTTAAGTTAGATTGAGAGAAATTCTCTCCCGTATTTTGGTGGGCAAATAGATCAAGGACGTGACAACAAAATCAGAGTCAATCCAACTATTACTACAGCTCACGAACATTTCAGGTTTATTTTAATATCCAGTATTCTTTTTATTACTTTCAAGATTTTACTATGTATGTAAATTTAGAAATGATAATTTAAAAGAATCAATAGTTAATTGGAAATACTTGATCACAATTTGTTCCATAGAATTCATCTTTACAAATACATCTTTCAGTATGATGCAATTTATCATAATTTGGTTTATTTGAATTTTTGGTATGAATTTCTATAGGTTGTATAAATTTTGTTCCAATACGTGAACAATTATTTTGTGCGTAGTATATGAATTGATCACTTCGTTTTGTATTAACTATCCATTTCAATCTTTCAGCTTTTTGACGCCAACCATATGGTAAATAACATGCTTTCACTTGTTCTTTCCATATAAAACCATTTGAACAATCACATTTAAAGCTTTGAAGATTTACTAATCCAACTAATGTAAATTATAAAATATAATAAATTGCATGAATGATACATTTATAAAGTTCTATGTTTTGAATGATTACTGACTTATTAATTTAGAATATCAAATATTTTGTAATATATATTTACTAAATATCGAGACAATCATTATAGGATGCATATATATCAATATAAGACTGATCAATTACAGTTCTAAACATCAGTGGGAAGACTTAAACAACCAATACTATTTACTGAATTATTATATAAATGTTTCATAATAAGTAGTCTTCTACAAACTGGGACTAAAGTATAAATCACCTAATGATCACTGTATGCTAAGTTCTTACGTAAGATGGGCCACTTTTGTGATAACCTGTTTCATTATTCATACGATATCATAAAAACAAAAATGAGTCCATAGTACTGTTAGGTTCCTTACGATGGAGATAAATTCTGATTATTTTTACATATATATAAGGCGGATTGCAAACTTAAGAAAAATAAATGATCGTGTTAAAAGCTTTATTGTGGAATCTCTCGTTTTATTTATGAAATTCGACATCTTTCAAATGGGATACTCTGTAATTGTTTGCACTTGAAAATGTGTATAGATCTTTTTACATTCCTTAATGAATATTATGATATCTGAAGAAATAATTAAATAAAACACTTTATTAAAAACAAAAGGCATGTGAAAAAATTCTCTTACATGTACGTCTAAATTCAGATTGGACAGCTATCTTTATGATCCCCATGAATGTCATTCCATGGATAACATGTTACAGTTGTTTAAATCAATGTGTTTATCAATATAATAGGATGACTTTGTGAATAAAATAACTTGAAGATATCTTCACTAGGTAAAAATACTTAGCAATAGTTTTGCTTCCTTATAGAGTTTTGGTTAGAAACAATGGTTTTTAATGAATTCGACCAGGGACATTCTAAATAGTTTATATACCTTAAAACATTTATTTTCATTTGTACTTTATAAAACAGTCCTTTACAAATTTGTCTTCATCTTAACAGATGAAAATCATATTTGAAATCTCACATTAGCTCAAATTTTCTAACCTAAATCTATCAGAACTCAGTAGCTAAGTGGATAACGCGATAGCGTTTGAAGAAATCGGTACTAGGTTCAAGTCCTAGAGTGAACATCAATTCTGAGATGCAGGTACATCCAGCTGACGAGTCCCAAATAGGACGAAACGCGCGTCCTGATTTCCACTGCTAGCCACTATCCATCTTAGCTTATAATCCTTGTGAATTAAGGCAATATCGAGGCAATACGCACAGTATGTACATATGCCAATAAGAGACTGATCAATTGCAGTCCTAAACATCATTGGGAAGATTCAAATAAACAATACCAAGTGAACCAAAATCTATCAGTTTTTCTGATGAATCCAATTGCACATTAAACTGAAGAAAAATTCACTTAGTTCTATGTATGAATACAACTTACCATTATTTTGTTCAATGCATCGTTGTGATGAAACTGTCATAAAATGTTTTGGGAAATTACACAAACTGGTATAACGGTTTAATTCGGTTTTATGCTTAATATTAAATCCTGGACCTCCACGATATGCACATGCTTTAGGACAAAACTGATGTATATCCTGTCGAACGATTAATCGAAATCTTTTAGCTGAAATAGTAGTCGTAGAGTTGGCATAATCTCCATTCGAATGTTCATTAAAGTCCAGCAACGCTGTACAGTAATACATTATAAATTGTATTCTTGTATTTGATCGATTAGGGATTAAATATTCATAAAAATGTTTGTTTATTTCATGAGTTTGTAATTTTAATTTATGAAGTTTAATTAAAGTTTGATAAAACTTATAATGAAAATTGTTTGTTCTCATATGATTACTGTTAATGAATTTTTCGTATTCGTTTATATTAGTATACAATTCGATTAATTTGCTTTTTCCATGACTTTCTGGTGGTATAATGATGGTATTTTGTTCTGTTCCGAATTGACCAGGTGAATAACCAGCTCGCATTATATACTGATACTGTATTGGTATGTCATACAGAATGTTAAAGTAAAAGTAGTCCTCTGCTTCATTGGTAGATTTTAAACTAAATGATATGGTCCGGCATAAAATTACGATGCACATTAAGTTTAATAGCTGAAAGTTAAGATCAAGACAATCTGTACTATTTTAACTGGATGAATATTGAGTAAGTGGTATTTTTTGGAACTATTTTACAGATTACTATTGAATTACTAGTTTGTTACATTTCCACATTTGTTTTATTTTAAGTTCCCGTTAGATTCACTGACTATCACTATCCATTTAAGCATCCTTTCAATTTTTTCAAATCATTTAAAGCTTGCTCTATTCTCTCACTTCTGGCTTATTCGTGTAGAAACTATGACTTTTTATTTATTATATAATTTGATTTGGCAGTGTATATATATGAGTGCCTGAAATATAATAATATAGGAAGGTGTGTCTCTGGCGGATCAATAGGTGTCAAGATTATCTCATCATTGTTGAAAGTTAATTACTGTCAATCAAAGCGCTCAATCGGTTAACCTTGGTCTTCAGGTGAAAAAAGTATGCTCGGACTAGAGAATCATTGAGTCCTTATTAAGTATCGTTCAAAAATGTGTGAGAAAACCAGGATTACAATGTACATCTTTATAAAATGATATTTTATGGGTTGAGATTAGCATTTATTGTCTATGATGAAATACTGCTCCCATAAGCTTAGGATTTGCAGGCATCTGATAGTTTCCATTTTTGCCGAGGTTTCATGTTCACAGAAGCTTTCATCTAGACACATCATGGGTCGAGATCTTAATTTTTCTAAATACTATCATTGTGCTTTACGTGGCTTACGAAAGTAATGAAACTGACTTGGTCGACCAATGAAAAATCAAGACTGAGACTCTCAGTTATACATCGTGTAGTAATGCAGGATCCACCTATTTTAACTATAACACAAAGTTATGACAGCAAGGTCACCTTACGGTATTTTTGAATTTCGCGGAACCCCACGCAGAACAAAAAATGTCACGCAAATTTTTCTGTTACGTCAGTTTTTCAAATCTAGTGTTATGATAGCGTTTTCTCAGAACAAAAAATATTGCATTTATCATCGGTATTCATTTAAGTTGGGTTGCTTAATGATCTGACACTCACATACGAGCACACTGACGATAGGTTAGTTGTGCAGATAAGCGACGCCTTCACTAAGTTTCAACATCGAAATTCACTATGTATTGAAAATTTAACTTGGGGTATAAGTCAGAACAAATAGCGTTCATACTTACTTCCTTGATAAGCTCGGACAAACCACAAACATTAAGATCTGCAGAAATACTCTATACACTAATCTTTAATTGAATTTAAACATTAATATCAACGAATACAATAATAATGTTTCATGACAACAATCTTAATTTTGTTTATTCATTCGACGTTAATGATAATATATTTCTTAACGCTGAATAGCAATGATTGGGTTTAAGTTGATTTTATTCGAAGAATCTGATATATTTTAAGCAATTACATCTTATAACCACACTAGATTGTTTCACAGATTAGCTACACAACAACGTGACTAAGATATCATGTAATACATAACACATAAAACCCAACGTATTGGCCCAAATTTGTCAAGTTTTATAATGAACAAGTCATCTAGTATTGATTAGTAACTGGTTTAAGAAAAAGTAATTTCTACGACTTTCTATTGAGTCAAAGCGAATAATCGAACCAGTCAGGAAGGATTTAGTTATTTTACAAATATTTAATGCAAGATGAATAGGTATCATAACAAGACAATGACATTTTTACGAACATTGCTGATAATTCGAATAAACTTACCTTCATATAGTTTATTCTGAAGAGAAGTGGTCTTAAATAAAGTTAAGAAGGAATACAGAAGAGACAGTGTAGTGAAAAATAGCCAATTAAATGAAAGTTAATACCACAAGTCGAATTCAACCACTATTAGCTTAATTATACCTTCAATCTGTCTATTATTTACATATATATGTATTATAGTTTAAAAATAATTGATCAGTTAGAATGATTTGTCGATAATAATAACAATTAGATGAAAATGTATAGACAGGCCAATCTGAGGTGGAAAGCAATATATAGAGCACCCTTTCAATTAATTAATTCAACTTACATTAGCTTCAAGTATGTGACAAGCTTTACAAGTTCTGAAACATAAAGCAACTGCGATTTTTATTTAAGAGTGACGTATTCAGTAGTGTTATAAGCCTGAAGCTGTTCGGTTGAATAATCATTTTTTTTACACAAGTTACGGATACTCGTTTTATTTCTCTAGTCACAAGTGACTTGAAGTGATGTAATGAAATATACATTTAAACATCGTTTTTCTCCAGCAAAATACTTTTCAATATGTGCAGTTGTTACGGAATTATTCACTTCCAAACCCCTAGTGTTATGCAACTTGACTGACGGACTTAGTAAACACAGTGACGTTACTTGGACTATTTCCACTATCAAATACGCAGATGAATAAACACTGAACAGCATAGCTTGTATCAAATAACAGTCAACTGTGATTTCCCAAGGTTATTTCAGTAGAACATTAGGTAAGTTAATAAACAATTTTTAACACATGTGATGGGAAGTGAAATCTAGTTCACTAGATGAATATCTATGGACTGCATATTTCCTAAATAATACACTTCACACTAATATTTTATTTAACAGCTAATTGGAAAATAAAAACGCTTGTGCCGCATTTACACTAAATTTGAATTCTATGGTGAGAGGTCACTTTATACCATCAGTTCGTAGATATTCAGTCGGCCAAACGAGTGGGCATATTTATGAGTAGCATAAAAGTAGCTTAGTATTTCTGTCCCAAAAATATTAGTTTTCTGGGCAGTTGGTAACTGCGTCAAAATACATTCTGAATAATTCAAACGATGCATATCTCTCACTCATACTTATTCAGAGAACAGGTGGCAAATTTTAATTACTACGTAAGAACACAATGAAATGAAGGGTAAGAAGTAAACTCAGTGACCAAGTTCTGACTTCTTTGGTTGATGAGTTGCCTACAGAAACACTAGTGTAATAACAAGCGCATAGTTTGAGAATTCTCATTTTTCCATTATCTCGAATATCAGTTTCTTAATTTAGTAAAAGATAAGTATTCCTAACTAGTTCCTGACATCCATTTATTTTGGTTATTTTTATTTGTTTGAGTCATGGCTATTTCACCAGTTAAATTTAAACAATAAATACATCAAGATCCGTTAGACGCTCAGTCAAAAAGGATTTTCTGAATTTCCCACTTATCTCAACTGGGACATTCGGAAATGTGTATTACCTTTATAGTTGTCTACCTTAAGTTGGTTCGACTTTATCCAGTTATTTTATAAATTGAGTCAAAAATAATCACGTACTATATCAGCACGAAAACGATATTATTAACTTGTAATGACAGAATATTTTGAATATGAATTTGATCTGCTTATTCTATTTCATAACAAGTCACATATCACTCCGCATAATTTATGAGAAGTACGTTTTACTGGAACTCTTTAGCCTTCATTATTGTCAGACGAGTTATTCTTGGAACAACAGTCAGAATAATAATAACATAGCTATTGATAACTAGTAAACTACTTTGATTATTAAAACGATCCTGGTAGATTATTTCTCAAAAATTTAAAACATTACATAAGAGCGGTTCTCTTTGAACGTACTGAAGCCTAATGTGTAGAAGGTTTATTCTTAAAAGAAACATTGTATGTAATCACTTTTCACCTTCCCAATGATACAAGAAATATATGACACGTTCAATAGTTAAAATAATAGGAGTATTACAAAATGCTAATTGATGTTCGAAAAAATGATTACCTTAAAATAAGATCAAGCTAACCGACATAAATCACTACTGTTACTACGTTTTCGTAATCTTTCTAGAAAGTTTAACACTTAAGATAGTTGCACTTTTGCAGTGTAGCCAATGCCAAATAAAAAAATATTGGAAACAAAAGAAATGAATATGGATAATCATATATTGTCATAGATAGAAAAGTTCACTTTACATTTTAATAAAGAGTAAACAGATAAATATATGAACAAAATGCTGAAATTTAGAGGAAAACATTTTATTTATTTAGTCTTTCCAACTAATTTCTCGACTAAATCTGTCGTTCGAGACGCAAGTCCACGAACATCATCTAAGAGACCCGCTTGAGCCATAGCCGAGTCATAAAAATGATTCAAGATTGAAATTGCTAGAGAATAATCTCCACTTTGTTCAGAATCTTTGGAAGCATGAACTAAATTATACAGATATCGAACTAGTTCATGTTCTGGATTAAGTTCTAGTATTGGTTCAATAACACGATATCTTTCTTCAGCAGGTCTGTCAGCCAAAGATGTTCTCAAAAAATGTCTCATTGCTCCAGCTTCACGAACAGAAACAAAGCATGGATGAGTACTCAACCTCTGTGTAACCTGAATAATTGGAAACAAATGTGATATTTATTTGTCAGAGAAATAGATAAAATAATTAAGCGACAACAGTATACAGGATGACTTGATTTTTTATGAAAACTAATGATGTAAACACATAAAACTACAGCAGTATATTTACTAAACTATAACGACTCTTAGATTTGGTGACCTAAGGACCGTACGAAAACCATACGTTATATGACAGCAGTAGGGTAAATTGGAAATGCAATACCCAAGTGAAGAGTAGACAACATAATAAGTTCAAATTTGTGGGGGGGGGTATCGCAAAAGGCACTGACACACTTTTACGGAGCAAACCGGGATAATGGTCAATATAAAGATCTCCTAACGATGTAACTGCTGTTCTATTAAGGTTTGGTTCAAGAACAAACAAAATTACTGATAAATCTTTTGTGACCGAATCAAAAAGATTTCGAATAACACATCTGTAATATTAACTTTCAAGGACACACAAGGCTGTTAAGATTTTCTTCTAGAGCGCGAAATATAGAGAAATACCCTTCCACGGTGTGGGCAGCCCGGGAAGTGATATCACATTCAAATCCTTCCTACACCTCCACGATTAACCCTTCTCATGCCCCTTTATCACCTTGCACCGCTAATGCAAACGATTCGAGTACGCGGGACGTTATTGCCGGTCTCCTGAAACCATGCTCTAAACTACATGTAGGAGCTTTTAAAGTCCCAACACTATGCCGAATAGGACAACAGGCTTCCTTAGCTAGGACTTCAGAGTCTCACGCCATCGATGTATGCTGCGTCTCCGAAACGCACATACAGGATCCGATTAGTGTCATTCATTCGACCTCACTATATCAAAGTGAAGAACCATCTCGATTCACGCTTCGTGTATCTGGAAGCCCAGATGCTACTTCCCGTGGCCTCGCTGGCGTAGGTATAGCATTGAGTCCTAGGGCAGAACTAGCTTTCTTAGACTGGATTCCAGTAGACAGTCGCTTGTGCGCTGTTCGACTAAACGGAACAGTAAAGACTCGGAAAGATAGGGATACACAACGTTGCCTCCTCGTCGTCTCTGCCTACTCTCCCACTGACTGCAGCTCAGATGATGTAAAAGATGAGTTTTACAGAAAGCTTCCCGACCTTCTCCAAAACGTTAGGCGCTCTGATGTAGTAAAAGTGGCTGATGACTTTAATGCTCAAGTAAGGTAAACCATAAGGTTAGGGAGAAATACTGGGTCTCAGCAACATCTACCGCACAGATATATGCTCGAAAACTCATTCGATCTGGCTCTGAACATGACGAAGAGCGGAGTCAGCTTAAGCGCAAACTGACAAGAAGCCTACGCAATGATTGTGAACAGTGGTGAGTAGCGAAAGCAAGAGAGATGGTAAAGGCAGTGGCAATAAGTAACATTGAACAACTGTTCAGACTTGTTAAGGAAACCGGTATTACGAACCCGACTGTTAGCGAAACTACCTTAAAAAAAGATGGACATATTATGCACCCTCAATCCAGGAGGTTGGATCGATGGGCAGAACACTTTAGGAATCAGTTCAACTGACCTACAGCCACACTTCGATGTCCCAAGATCTCCAGTCGACCTGAATGGCAATCAGTCAGTAACAACGTAGAACGTCGTACGTACGTACATCAGTTCAAGTTGCCAGACCGCATTAGCACAGAGATACAATTATCGGTTCAAATCCTATAGTAGTAGAAGTAATAAGAGTAAAAGCATGAACCTCAACGTACCAAGAGGTACTGGGCCGCAAAAATATCATAAGGAATGGATCTCTATCGAAAACCTGGCCAAGATTCAAGGAAGGAAGAACAAGACGGCAATAAACAACAGCCGAACATGAACAGAATCAAGACACAGATCAAATACACAGAAGCAAACAAGCAAGTGAAAAAAAGCATTAGAGCAATGATGTCAGAAAAAGATGCAACTGAATCCACCGGAAATCAAAGCAGCACACAAATGCCTTCCTATACATGTCACTCTACCAACAACGGAAGCAATCAGGGTGGCCATTAGACAAATCAAGATTGGAAAACCAGTAGGGCCTGACAATATACTAGCTGAAGCACTGAAGGCACACATAAAACTGCAAACATGCTCCACGTTCCATTCAGGAAGATTTGGGAGGAAGAATAAATGCCACTGACAGGCTGGGAAGAATGACACCTCATCAACATTTCAAAGAAAGAAGATCTGAGCAAATGTGAGAACTACAGAGGCACCACATTACTGTCAGTACCAGGAAACGTCTTCGTTGGGGACGTTAGATCCCCAGAACTCAATTGGGAAAGAACCTAATTTTGTAATTTTATTTAGAAAATTTGAATTTCTTCATTTTCGCGCCGAAGGCGCTCTTGTCACCTTCATGTCGTA